ATGTAAAATTCATAACTGCATTATGAGGCCTCATCTCATTGTGGGGAAGCACAACTATCAGTCCTTAAATTATCATAGGTGGCCTAGAATGACTAAGCTCTATTTCAAGAATTACTGAGCCTCGAAAACTACTTATACCGATAATAAGCAGTATACTAGTTTTAGCTTGGCAACAAATGTTCATTATCAGAAAGTAGTTTAAAAAGCACGCTTGAGAAGGGCCTAATGAAAATTCTGTTCTACATCAAATAAGGCATATGAAGAAGTCCCACTACTTACCCAATTCACCAAAGCCAGAGCCTGAGCCTACACAAGGTGTAGCTGAGCCGGGTTGCTGAAGGAATTGAAACGATGGCTGGTTAATATGCAAGGGTGAGAGAGGTGATTGCGGTGGTGGTGGTAAATGCGAATGCACGGAGCCAAGACCACAAGAGTATTGTCCATGCGGGCCGCTACCAAGTCCTCCGGAAACCAGTGGACCAGTGGCAGATTGTATCCCACCACTGCCAGCAATATTACCAGATACAACTGTTGGTGCAATGACAGGAGAAGCTGGGCCAGGTACGAGGCGAGCTAGCAAAGCAAGACATAGAAGCTGGAGATCATTCTGAAGAGGAAGGCTGGCCCGAAGCAGACCGGCTAGTTCAGATCGATAAACTGCATACGATATGTTTTTTTTATAATGGAGGAACGGGAAAAGGTAGATATAAAATAAGGACATTAAGATAGCTGACTTCCTGCAATAGCTGGCACCAAATAAACCTCACAACGATATAAATTAGAAACATGGACCAATAAATATAGGCAATAAAATTTAAAACATAATTACAACCTAATAGATAAGTTGCCTACATTTAAAAAAGGACTCGATCAAAGTGAAAATGCTAGGCAGTCAAGTAAAACCAACTCAAAAAATCATATTTATACGCGTATAGCTATGAAATGCTCCGACTGCTTTTAGCCCAATAATCCATGAGGGGAGAAGCCCCAGGATATTGTAGAGGCAAACGTTTGGATTTTCCACAGGAGATTGCACGAGGCAAACTGCCAGTGCAGATGCGAGAATGCAGCTTAATGGGGTGTGCAAGTGCAAAAGTCAGACACCCTAAGGAAGAGACGGTCATTGGGAGGCCAAACTTAATTTAGAAATCTTCCTATTCAATAGCTTGTGCTTGAAGGTTGGCTTCTCAGTCTCGTCGAGCCGTCAATTCCGATTAGTGTGACAGATCATCGTCTAATAGATCACATGCTAAGCTAGGTACAGCTTGCGATATTTGATTGGTCGAAATGAATGATTATTAAAAATTAGAAGTATTCATAAGTAGTCTATGTCTAAAGTGAGAGGGCTGGGCGACAACCGTTTGACGAAACTAATTATTATAGCGAGAAAAAGATAGATAGATAGATAAATGGATGGAAAGAGAGATAAGAAAGATAGCTTAACAAAGACTGTAGCATTCTTCAAATGTCGCGGAACAGGCATCACAACATATATATGACATTTCCTATAATCATATTTAGTAGTTTTCGATACTGTCAGAAAATCGTATGTAAGGCTTATTTAAAATCTACTGGTGATATAGAAGACTACTCAATATGAATATGGATATAATCAAACCTTTTCTGAGACCCATTGGCGCTAGTATTAATAAGTATAAAATATACGTTATAGTTAGGTGAGACCCGGGTGAGGCCTAAATTGCAGACAATCCTTGAAGATAATACTCTTTGGGAAGCAAGAAGTGAATTTCTTTGGAATAATGAGGACTAATCATAGTATTGTCGCTCTATCTGATTTAAAGGGTAATAGTTGTGGGAAAATTAAACTCAGTCATTTATCACCTTATGTGGCCTAAGATAAATATAGTTACTGTAGCATTGCTTAACCTATACTGTTAGGCCAACCGAATTCTGGAGAATTTTCATAAGCTCTGTCCTCTTCCGAGTATCATTGAATTGAATCTGATAGTCTTTACGACTCTACAGCATTTAATGCTTAGGATTAGCATTTTGTTAGCTGAAGTCTAAATAAAGATAGTGTACTTATTACGCAGGAACACATCAGCAGCATTTTCCTATCAGGCCATGTAAGGTAATATAGATGATAAAATCTGGTAGGAAAGTTCGATTTCCTAGGTTCTGCCTATAAGGCGATCTGGAATCCAAAGCTGTCGCAGTTGCCAATATTTTGTTTGAAAAGTTAAGTCCCTCCGTAACCTTACTCACTAGAGAATACAGAGCAATAGACAGCAAATTCTAGTGTGGAGATCCTAAAATTTGATAGCTCCAATTATTGAAAATGATAGTTGTCTATCTTGGAGATAACTAGCTACAAATTAAAGGCTATTGAGGTAGCGTAAAGCTCTTGAGAATGACCACCAATGGCCGGAATATCAGAATCCAGACAAGGATTCAAAACCTAGAATCTAAAGCGTTCTCTGTGCCTCATTCCAATCAGTATTGTTTAACTAAAGCCGAATGAGGTTGTCGAAACCTGCCACACCCTGACTAACGATACCTCAACGACTATGTAGGTAAGCCTAGTCTAATTATATATCTTCGGTCAAGGAAAGTATGATCCCCTCTATGTAAAATTTTCAAGAGATAGATAAGCTATTTCTAATAAATTTAGAAATTCAAACAATACGGACGATGATATCCGCTCAACATAGCTGTGTAGTACCTATGGAAATAATCTTCAATGAGATTCAAATTAAAGCAACATAAAAATTCGTGTTGTCTGAAAAAATCATAGAAAATTTGTACGTTTAGTGAAGTTATTCTGAAATTTTGAATATTCGTAATAATTCTAACAAGATAATGCACCCTATATATTTAGATAGAGTTTAGAATTTCTTAAAATATAGCTAAATTGCATACACTAAGCATGGGCAAGTCGGCATTATGGCACGCTCTATGTAAGAAAGCAACTTTAGAATTCACAAAATTATAAAACATTAGGCTAATTACAGCGTTTTCTCATTGGGCTTATCGGTTAAATAAGCATAAAAGGAATCTCAGGAGTTTGAACACCGTCTACTCATAAGTAAGGCTAAAAAGATTATGAAAACAAAATATGTGATAAGGATAAAACAAGCAATGTCGAATATATTTAAAATACATTTGAAAAGCCAGTATTATTATTATTGCAGAAAATATGAAGTTTTTCTCTGAAACAAAAAATTAACGGAATGAATATGTTGAGACAGAAGCATTAAATACTAAAGGCGGTTTTAAACGAAATCTAACCTAATTTTGTTTCGGAATTTTGTTGCTATGTAAAGAAAATTGGCTTATCCTATAAAATAGATTACTCATCTTGTTTTCGCAACTTGGTCACATTGGTAGGAAGACTTAAAGGAACGCACCTTGTCCAGATTACATTGTATGCATCATCATTTCCAAAGTCGGACCGTGGACGTGGTACATTCCCAGACTTTCGCCGGCATCGTCCGTGAGTTTTGCCATTCGTAGCATCATATTACAACGCGTCAGAGACAAGTGAAGCCGATGCTTTGACCAAACGTGTGCTAAACAGTTATGGTACCTCCCCTTCTGCCCTGGCCTATTCACATTTCCTATA